TGGCTCATATTCTCAGATATCTATCTTTTTGAATGGCAATCTTAAACCTTCCTTCATTCAGAATACTGCATGTTTGCATCCAGATGCATGACCAGAATTTGTTTGGAGATCCCTAGCCTGTTTGTCTTGTTCTATTTTTTCAAGTTGGTTACCTTTTTTTCTTTCTGCAGCATCCTGTAAAACAAGCACCATTGTTATGGATCGGAATAAAGTTCCTAATGTTCATCCAATCATGCCATTGAATGGGTTAGAAGGAAATATTCATGCTAAAATTGGAAAGACATCAATGATAGAGGAAAAAATTCTAGAAAAAAGTGAAGCAAATGTGGGTGGAGACAAGACCACAAAATTGTCTCAGAAAAGCCAACATTCTGTACCAAATGGTATGAACAAGAGTCAAGAAAAGTTGCGGTGCGATGTCGTGGTTCCAAATGGGAAGTCATCATGTGTGTATAAGGGGAAAATATTTTGCTTTTCTAGTTCCTTTCCAGAAGATCGGGTATGTTGTGAAGATTCCTTCCTCTTATTATAAGCAACATTATCTAAAACGTTCAATATGCACCTTAGGATTTTGATACATTATTGTGGTAAATAGCATCCATTTTAGAAAAAAAGCAGAGTAGGAGCCTTGTATTCAATATCAGATGAGTTGAGTAAAAAGTAGTTCATTAGTGCAGCTCTGAAAGCTATATCTAGTTCAACAGTTCCAGCTACAACTCCATGATTTTGAAAGCAAGTCAATGGAGTGCTGTATACTATTTTGCATCTCAATTCTCCAGTACACTGCCATCTCGTTTAAAGAATGATCTCGAAAAATTTGTCATAATGCCAAATGTCATTTTGCCCTTGAAAATAATACCATTTCCATTTAGCATATTAAGATTATGCCTTTGAAAATTTTGTCCATTTTATTTGTGATATATATTCTGATGATCATATTTGAATTCTCTCCTACTAGAGAGCTGAAATTGTTGAATGGATAAATCAAGGGGGAGGGGAAGTGGTTGAGGATCATACGAAACAGAAAGTGCACTTCACAGTTGGATGTCATGGTGTGATACCAAGGAGTACAGATGTTCATACTACATACGTGTCAAGTCATTGGGTCCGATCATGTTTAGAGGTACATTTGATTGATTTATTTGTGATTTCTAGTTTATGGCTCTACTATTGGGCTTTGTTTCTGTTTCTCTTCTTGGACATAAAACTCGTTCAAAGCTGTACAACACATTTTATTTTAGCCACTGCAAGTTTGGATTATTGCATGGGTTGAGTTAGGATTGGAACTTTGAATTTTAAGGGACATTGGCTTGGTGTTAGGCCAGGCTCACATAATATAAAGGACAGATACTATTAAATTGAAAAATGGAGATATAATAGGTTACATCATTGTTAACATTTTAATGTTTAGGGAAGGTGGTTACAATATCCCATAGTGGGTGGTCTATTGTGGAAAACATGCTTTGTCACTGTCTTTTTCTTCACTTTGTCTACATTTAGAAATGTGAGTTGTTCTATCAGTTTGCGAGAGGTTTCTTTATGGACAAAATTAATAGGAGTCTGACATTTGAAGAAGTCTTTCCATGACCTTCCCTTGAACTCCAAAAGGTTTTGACTACATCCCTGTGGGAACAAATAAATAGGGACTGCTATTGATGCTTCTCAAATATTTTTCTATTAAACTTTTCCCTTTTATTTATTGGAGGACTTGAAAAAGTATTGATACTTTATTGATGCTTCGGTTAAATGTGTTTGTTTAATTACAGCTTTGAAGCTAATTCTTAATTGATAGCTTGAGTTGAAGATGCTACTTATTTGATGAAATTTTATAATGCTGATGATTTAAATTTTTACTTTTTTTTAATTGTTAACCTAATTATGTTAAAAATTATAAACTGATATTTGAAATGACTGTTGAACATTCATCTTGTTTTTGTTTTTGTTTGTTTATACTGACTATTCAAATAAATCCGTTATGAAGGATGGATGTTTGTCGGATACCAATGAGCACATTCTCTATTCTCCACTTCCTTGTTGTGTTCCTTTGCCTGGGTTTGAAAGAATACGTTTCTGTGTTTCACAATATGAAGACAAAGATAGAGTCTTGTTAAGAAATCTGTGTTTTGTACTTGGGGCCAAGTTCGTGGAGAAGTTGACAAAGAAGGTAACCCATCTAATATGCAAGTTTTCCGATGGGCCAAAGTATGAGGCTGCTTGTAAATGGGGAATACATTCAATTACAGCTGAATGGATCTATGAGTGTGTCAGACAGGTAGCTTCATTATTTCTGTTTCTCTTCATTATATATGTTTACGTTCATGCGTGTCCTGATAGAACTACAGAATCCATTGCGTTTTTCTCTTCTCTTAGATATGGAATGATAATTTTCTATTCAAAAATTTCAGAGTAAGCTTGTTTCTCTTGATTTGTATCGTCCAAAAGAAGTTACAGCTCAAGATAGAGAGGCAGGCTTATGTACTGTCAGTCAGTTTCCTACACAAGCTGGCCAAATGATAGCCGGTGAAGGTGAATCCCAGTTCCCTACCCATTCTGCTATCTTGAGAGATCAATCAGCTGGAACTAACAGTAGCTCTATGGGAGAAGTTGAACAAATAAGTTTTACTAACAAAAAGCGGAAATTCCTTGACGAACCTATACAAAAACGTCCTATATTTGTTGGAAACAGTCTCACTCATTTTGACTGCAATTTGAACTCCACAAGAGAAACTACATCAAAATCTTCTGTAGTAACTTCACACGTTCCTGATGTTGCTGCCGCGATTGAGGACTTGTTGGAGCAGACGAGTAAGGTAAAATATGGATAGAGCTTTAATTCCATTACTTAATTCCAATTTTTGTTTTTTCAAATCCTTTTGTTCCATTTTCTTTTTTGAAGATTCATGATCAGAAGTCACCTGGAAAGACTGGCTGCGACAAAAGTGTATCCTTCTTTTGGGATCGATGCTTATTATGTATGAACTTTTGATTTATTTTGCATTTAGTTTAATCCTTAATGGAACCAGATTTTCCTGCCCGACTGTTCCGTCATTGGTCAAGACCATTCAGAAGCTCCTCCAGTTGGTGGTTCATCTAACCAGTGGTTAAAAAGGTAAAATTTGACCCCTTCTTCTCGATCTTCTCGATCTTCTCTTGGAAAGACCATGCCGAATGGAAATTTTGTGGGATCATCCAACAAAGTCGTTATGAATTGTTTTTTTTTTTTTTTTTCTTCACTGATGAATTGTTTCATATAAATATACAGGTTACACTTCGTTTCAAAATAAGTTATTTTGAGTAGTAATTTTAATTGCTCTCAAATCATCCCGAATGCTATCTTAAAACCAGCATACGGAAATAAATACCATTCTTGAATAGTAATTTTCTTTCTTATGGAAAAAACAGTTCTTGAAACAAAGGCAATAAGTTACTCTTTAAACTAGCAAAACAACCCCTGTATTTCTAAGGTGATTTTGGCACAACGAAAACTTGAGTGTGTTATTCACCTGAAAATATTGATTAGAAGAGCATTTCACCTCCCTTTGTAACTAAGTTACTGAGAATTTTGACATGCATGTTTTTAGAGCTGAAAGAAAAGAAGACGTCAGCGATCCTACTACTGGAGATGGGTGTGCAGGGGCATATGATGGTTTTAGTGAAACGCAAACCGAATCTCAGGTGTGTGGGCATGTGTGTTTTTGTGTGTTTGTCATTTATAACTTGCTATCGTAGTGATGGATTTTTGAAAATTTTCACCTTTTCTGTTGACTTGATTTCAGGAAAACTAAATAAACTACAACTCACAAGATTTCATACTAATCATTGAAGTTGAAATTGATACTAGGAACGAACTCATTATTTGGTTATTAGTTCCATCCTGTTAACAGCTCAATACTTGTAGGTTGTGGGTTATGAAGAGGATTTGTCGGGAAGGCAAATGCTCATAGACAGAGTACGAACCCGGAGTAGCATGATTTGAAACTACGTCTGCCCTTATTTACTCAAAGCTTTAAAGATGGTGGTAGGACTAAGGGCTGCGCTGTGAAGGTTTGATTCGAGCTTTTCCTTTTCCTTTTGAGTTTTATGTTATTCAAACATTATTTTCATTTAGGAGTTGTAGAAGATGTTGGACCTTGATTGGTTGTATAGTAAAAAACAATGTGGCAAAAAAAAAAAAAAAAAAAAAAAAAAAAAACGAAAGAAGGGGGATTTAAGATGAGGGTTGCATGGGGCTTTATCCATTGTCTAATGAGTCAATGACATCCTCGCACTTGTAAGCTGGAAAATTGAGCTATATTAAGCCGATTTGCAAGTAACAGAAGATTTGTGACTAGCTGATGGATGATTCTTATACTGCCCACTCACTACAAGGTAATCCCTCCTCATTTACTTGAATTTGGCATTTCCCAATTAGGATACGCGTGGGAAATTTTTATTGAGTTCTTTACTAGAAATTCAAGTTTTTAAACCCTTCACTATAAATTCAAGTCTCGAGGCACAAGTAAAAGTGAAAGATGGAGAGCATGACGTTGATAATTTGATTTTTGTCTGTTTATCATTACTCAATATTCTCTTTTAGTCATTTGTGGTATAAATTTGATGAGAGGATTGATTGCATATACACTTTGGTCTCGAACTTTTAAAGACAACATTTGGAAGATTTCTAATTTTTTTTTAATATTTTTATGGGAATGACAAGTAAATGTCTCAAGGCTATTTAGATTGCATGCTTTATATGGACATAGATCATGAATATTTATTTGGAATCTAAATATAAGATTTAATTGTGCTTGCTGGATGTGCAAGAGAATTAAATGTCAAGCAAATAAGTTTAATTAACTCACAAATAACAAAAATTATTCAATCTTAAAATATAATAGTGAAAAGCAATACTAAATATTGGTCCTTCGGACACATTCCATACCTTACAACAATAAATGGAAAAACAACAGTAAATTACTAAAGCAAACACACACAATCCCCAAAGGGAGAGTGGTTCTTTTTTTCTTTTTGTGAGGGGGGAGGGGGTGTGGAAAGAAAAAGTTGCATTATTCAAATTTTGTCACTACTGCATGAAAACCCTTGAATGAAAGGCCATCACACTGCCCTGACAGCTTGAAACCTTGGTTCCTTTGGGAGGAACTTCTGCTCAGCATAAACCGACATGTAGTCTCCAAACACAAACTTAGGATATCCTTCTTCCACCTCCTGGTTTGCTTTATCCACCAACTGTGCTGCAGGGGCTATGGTGGCTTCCAGTGATGGGTTGTAGAACGAAGCTATTGATCTCCTGTTCCCATTTGGGGTGGCCAAAATCCGGTGCCACACACTCTTGTATTTCCCATTGCTCAGGACCTCAATCTGATCACCTGTGTTAATGACTATGGAGTTGTGTAATGGCTGAACATCTATCCACTGCCCGTCTTTCAGGATTTGAAGGCCTCCCACCTGGTCATCTTGGAAGAGCAAGATGACACCGCCAGCATCGGTGTGGGCACGAAGGCCATTCACCAGCTCTGGGTGTGGGCATGGTGGGTAGTGGCTGACTTTGGTGCCAAAGAAGGCCTTTTCCAGCCCTTCGCCACCATTGAAGGCAGCCTTAATGTATCCTTCAGGTAAACCTAAGTTCTCATCCATCAATGCCATCACCTTTTCAGCTAGCTTCTTCAGCTCCGATCTGTATTCTGCCATGGTTTCCCTGCCACAATTGGATTCATAAACATAAATTCATTCCTGTTCTTGAGAAAAGATGATTTCATGGTATATTTTCACTGAATTTACATGAAATAACAGAAAGTTTGTAGTGTAGATGTATGCTTACTTGAATCCAGGAATGTTGGAGGGCCATTCGTTGTTATCATGGAGAAGGAAGACATCTTCCCAATCAAGATTTTCCAGCTTCTCACCGCTCTTGTTTTCCAGCAAATCATTCAGGAGCTTTACAGGTTTTGAACTCATGAAACTTTCTTCTCTTTCCAGCTTGTAACACTCTGAACAAACCCTCTTTACCCTCTCTAGGAGCTCTTCAGGAATCCCATGGTTCACCAGCTGAAATTCAAGTAACACATTTATTCAATCAACCATCATAAAAACATTTAATTACTGCTTTTGCATGAAAACATTACTCGAGTTAATTAGGATATCTAGAAAAGAGACCCCACTCTAGAAACAAAGAATGATTGCTCTTGCACTCAAACATTACTCGTGGAAATAGGATGTCTAGAAACACCACTCCCAAAAGTACTTTTGATTATATTTTGGGTATGTTTGGGAATGATTTTGAAATGGTTAAAATCACTTCAAACGTGTATTTAACCATTCAAAAGATTTTACACCTTCTAACTGCAAAATTACTTCCAAACATTGAATAGTATAACTAATTAGTCGGGAAGTACCTGAAAGAATCCCCATTCTTCACAGCCATTAGCTATCTGATTCAAGGTCTTGGCCCTTTCTTCTCCATCAAGCTTTGAGAAATCAATGACTGGAATTGCCATTAGAAGAGAGAGAGAGAGAGAGAGAGAGAGAGAGATGGCTTAAGGTAATGGAGTTGATCAGAGAGTAGTAAGTTTATGCTGATGGGTTTAGAAAGGAAAGGGCTGCCCCTATTTATAAGTGTTCCCTTCCAACTTGGATGTTAAACCCTTTAGAAATTAACTCCCCTTTCTTTTAAAACAAGTCCCCCCCTTTGAAATGGGACGGCGACTTTTTTAGTAAAATATTGTTCGAAAAGTCAATGGCCTCTCAAATTCTACCTTTGTTTGCAACACATTACAGATGCACTCACCTCATAAACTAATTAATTAATTGGTTTTCCGTTGAGTGTTCATTCATTAATCGTTAGTTTTTATTGGCTGTTATCTCTTAAACTTCCAGGCTACCTATTATGGAGTTACATACCTATTCATACCTTAGGTTTGTAATCATGTTATAATGATCTGATGGTTAGATTATATCTCTCCTATTTATATTTATAATTACTTTAATATATATCTGTTATTATGGTCGTGTATTTTTTTTTTTTTTTCAATTTTAAAAATGACTGTTTGTGTTTAGATTGACAGATGATAAAGGTATAACATTGTTAGTCGAGTATTCTTTATAGTTTATTGTCAACCAAAGTAAGGGTGTGGTTGTAAAAAATTAACTGTAAGGGACTTAATTGAAACTCTTCCCCTAAACCCTAGACCTAAAATTAAGGAGCAAAATATGTGCTTAGTCCCCTCTCTCACCTCTCCCAAAAAAACTGAAAAATAAAAGCAAAATAAATTTAATATCTAAAATTTGAAGTTTATTACTATTAGATAACACAATTTTCAATATTTGAATTTTAAAATATCTATTTTGTACTTGTTAACAATTAATATTTTAAAATTTTGAATATGCACGAGAAATAAACATAAATTTTGAAGATAGATCAAACGTTGATAAATGTAGCCTTAATCTATGTCACAGGTGTCAAAATTATATTTATGTAGCGTCGGTTTTGCAAATATATAAAGCCGACGTGCATGATATTAAGCTTACTCAAAACATAAATGTAAGGCTTAATCATTGATAATGTTGACTTTTAATATTCCCGGTCCTGCCTTTGACTCTCTCACATGGGTATGCTTTCGGTGATCAACGGTTTACACCAACATATTAATTAATAATTGTACTCTAATTTGAAGGCATGGTTTGTGGGTTAAGGAAGAGGCTGCATGGTATCATGGCTTTTAAGTTTTAATGCACTTTTAATAGTCTTAATATTTTCAATAAATCTGTAAGAATTAAATAAACCTTATACGTTACATTGATTAATTTAATGAATCAATAGATTTCTATAAATAATGTAATATAATATAATATAATATATTACAAATTGAACGAGAAATAAAATAAAAACAAATTTCAATACCTATATCAATAGAGTCAAAAGGCTAGGATAGGAAAAAGCCATATAAATGCAGCTAAATGCAAACCGTAAATTAATGAATCAAATGCATATAAACACCTAATGTGCTAGGTTGGATAATTTAAACCCTAAATTAAAAAAATATATAAATAAATAAATAAGCCTATTCGAGTTCTAGCCTATTTTGCTGAAGTTTCAGGTTCATCATTGAAGATTTAAAAGCAATAGCAATCAAAAAATGAAATATTCACTAGATTTTTTTCTTCATTTTATCAGACTTATGACTTCTAAGCAAAATGATACCAAAATATATGTTGCTAATTAGATTAGATTTGTAATTAATGCTAAAAGAAGAAAGCACAAGAACAATAAATAAATAAAAATAAAGAATCTTTTCTAGGTCAGATTACTCCACCATAAAAGTTTCCCAAGTATTTTTTGAATTGAACATGGGTTCATGTATATGTTTTCATGCCAAAATGTCAAGTCAGCAGCAAATTATTGAAGGAATTAAATAATTCCCAATTTACAACTTTAAAAAAGAAATTCTAACCCCTTTTCTCTGATCATTAATTATGGACTAACTGAGTATTGAATGTAAAAATTAAACTTGAACGATTGAAAGTAAGTAGACCCAAAGAAAAGAAAAACCAAATGAACATTAATATTTTTGGTAAATTAAAGTAAATATAAACGAAGGTATTTAATACATACTCAAGTCCCTTATTCTAAGGAGAAAAACAACTTCAAAAATCTTAATCAAAGTCGTATTTTAAAGAACGAATTACCTTCTTCTTTCTTTGTCCCGCCTCGAGATCCAATCTAAATAAAAAACATGAGCCTCTCATGGCATTATGATTGGAAAAGAATTTTAATTTTGAGATTGGTGCAGCTTGAACTGTGTAAGTTCATGCATGCCATATTCATCATCTAATTAAAGGTCAAACACATGGAGCTGAGTAATGGTTCTCTTACAAGGCACTCCATTTGGGTGACAAACAACTTGTCTAGGTTGCCTGCACCCACATAGATTTCTTGTCTTTTTTATTTTTTTAATTCGTTTATGTTTTCTATTTGTAGCTTTAGCTTTCATATTTATTAGGTTCTTACTGTTTTAGACTTTAAATTTTGTAGTTTTATTTTTTGGTTGAACTTTATTATAATTATTTAATAACAGTTAAAGTCAGATTAAAGAAAAGAGAAAAAATTATATAAAACAGTTGCATGTTATGAGTTCAAATAATTGAAGAACTATTTATGAAGAGCGTACCTTATAAGAAAGTGTTGATGATGATGATGAGAGGGAATATTCTTGGCTGGAAACCTATATTAAAACTTATCTTTGACAAACAAATTATATTTATTATTCATCAAAACGCACTAAAATAGCAGCTAAATCCAAACACTGCCTATGATTATGATAATAATTATGATTAATCCGCTAACTACTAACTAATTAAAGAGCAATTATAGTTCGCCAAGTTCTTGATACTACCCTGCCTTCGAGTGCATGAACAAATGCAAAAATTATTAAGATTACCAAACCTCTTTAGAGAGTGGCTTAAACCTGAACTTTTGCAGGCGTCGATGCACGGGAGCTCTACAATCCTGCGAGATGGAAAAAAACACTGAGATGGATAATAGACCATCGAGAAATTATGAACGCTAAAGAAACCAGTTTCCAGTATTCAAACAATTCAAATGATTCAAATGAAAACCATATAAAATGCTCTGCACAAATAGATTATCATTTTGTCATTGAACAAATATTGCAAAAATACATGCCGCCATAAAAACAAAACATAAGATTGAGAATGTCAAAACTTGATTTAATGTTATTTACTCATACTAAGAGATGTAAGAAGAGATTGTCCACGGAATGGGCAAAGATAAAATTTATCTTTTTTTATGAGATATTGTCTATAGGGATCAGAATTTCCGTAGGACTTTTTTTTTTTCTTTCCATTTTTTAATATACACTTTAAAACACCTTTCATTTTTCAATATAAAACATTCTAATAAATTCAATAATATTTCGTAAATAAAAATATAATATAATATTCTACAATCATTACTAAAAACCCAAATTTCAAATCACAAAATAGTCCACACTTAAAAAATATATGTATATATTTATTTACTGAGTTAATGTATGTAATATGTTAGGGTAGGATAAGGGTAGGGATGAAGATGGAGAATATAATCTCCGTCTCTATATGAAAATTCTATCCGCTCCCTTCCCATTGTTATTAAAATTAGACTCCTATATGCTTGAATTGAACTTTGAAGACAATTATATTCAAATCTAGTTAAAAGCTATTATGATTTTAACATTAGTAAATTACCACCAAGTCTCCCATGCTCTTTATATTTGGCTTTAACATCTTATGAGCTATGGTTGTTAATTACTCCATAAGAGGTTGAAGACGGTCAAAAATATCAAAAGCGCAAATCCAAAAACAGAATCAACAGCAATAAATTGGAGACTGCCAACATCAAAAACAAAATTACAAAAATTTAGATAGAAAACTCTACAAAAATAAAGAGAGATTTTGAAACAATAAGAAGGAAGTTAGGCTTTACCTGCTGATATAGTTGCATATAAGAAAGAATCATGTCACTTTGGAGTATGCTTCCATGGGATGCCTCAGGGCATTCTACATAATGTTCAATATTAGGAAAAGTGAAAAAAAAAAAAACAAAAAAAAAAAAACTAAACTCATAGTAAACTATAATACAGTAAATATAGACTGTGATCACACCTGAGAATCTTCAGTCATTGAATCAGCCTCATCCAGAATTATTATCTTGAATGGTTGACAAGGATAACCCCTAAATTCTTTTTCCTTTTCTAAAATGTGTGAAGTTCATAACAGGAATGTTATGAAAATGTTATAGCTAAGATTAAGAAAATTACCCATGGCATTGACCACTGCTTGCTGCAACACAAGCAAAATCTTTAATCCTAGTCCGAACAACATTGATCCCACGGTCACCACTTGCATTCAACTCCAAAACTCTTAACTTGTATGAGTTCAGGACTAAATAATGTTTCCTATATCAGATATATTTTATATCAAATAAAAACTAATAAGATATTCAAATAGTCATATTCAAATAGTGAATTTCATGTTTTATAAAAGCATGATTGCATTAACGTTTGAATTAATCCAAGCAGATTGAAGGATTTTGTTATCAAATAAGCAAATCACGAATGCCATGAGCAAAAACATCCCAAAATCAATGACTTGCATTTAACCATGATGATAGTGAGGCCATGATTTATTTATAACGTCACGTTTCAACTTCAATTTATTGCTAAATCTCATAGATAGACAATTCAGACAACACCTTAACCAAAAAATTACAAACGAGCAGAAGAAACCCAACTCCCCAGCCGCAAAGAATCAAAGTCATCTCTTACAACGGATTCAAAAATTATCATCCTAAACTACCGGTTAGTTCTGCATAGAATCAAACAACTTCATCCTGATGCATCAAATCTTTCACTACCTTCGGCCGACTGTCAATCTAAAAAATGGACGACGGTTGAGATTACGCAACACATTCTGAGAAACAAGTGAAACAAAAGAACGTAAAACAGAAACGTACTACATCTCCGCCCATGGTTGAGAGCTCAGCAACAATGGCGCTCCATTTCTTCTTCCCCCAACGCACTGATCCACCTCCCCGGCATTGCAAATAGGGTCTTTTGATTTTCCCGCGTTTAGTCGGATTTTTGTTCCTTTTCTAATTCCTTCACAGATTATGCTTTGTGGGCTGGGCTTTTGGCCCTTTTCTTATTGGGCCCAATTCCTCCTTACATTTTATGGTTGCTTCCTTCCTACAATTTCTTTCGCTTTTTTTTTTCTCAATTATTAAAAAAAATTTAAATCTTTCATTTATAATATTTTTAAAATAATACTAATAATTTAACCTCATTTTTATATTTATTTTTTTTCAAACATTCAATTAAAATTTATAATTCAATTTCAATATATAACTTACCATTATAAAATAAATAAATATATATATATATATAAAATGTAAGTAAAAAAAATCTTATTGAAAAAAATTTAGAGAATTCATGAACCAATCTAATCCATAAAATTTTTATTTATTTGAACCGAATCCAACCTAAATAAATTCACGATCCAACTCAAACGGTACGAATTGGGTTTGGTTGTTCAATTTTTTTTTAAGACCTCTACTTCTGATAACTAAGATTCAAACCCTTCTGTAAATATCGTATTCACGAGATTTTTGTCAATCTTAAGAAGACCGATCTCGACTCTTTTCTTCTTCTTTTTTAGGTTAATAACATTGGGTACGATAACTCAAACACCTCACCTATTTCTCGAGTTATATGCTCGGGTTGACAAATTAATACCGATTCAAATACGATAAACGAAGTAACTATAGTGTCTTTTTCTTCAACCAATTAAGGTTTATAGGCATTTGGGAGTTTGATGGGTTGAGATAACCATTCATATGATAGGTCACGAGTTAGGTTCTTTCCCTATTTGCACAAATTTCAAATTCTAACCCAACGTTGTCACGTGGGAATAGTCTAATCGATACAAATTTGTATAAAGAACTCCCCGAGAGATCAACTTGAATTGTCTAGCTTTGATAAATTGTATCGCTCGAGTTCTATAATAACGAAAAAAAGAGCTTTTTCGATATATTAGTTGTGACTCTTAATAACAACAGTCGGATCGAAGGAAAACACAGTCTATTATTGTGAGATCCCACATCAGTTGGAGAGGAGAACGAAGCATTTCTTATAAGGGTGTGAAAATCTCTCTCTAGTACACGCGTTTTAAGCTGACGGCGATACGTAATAGGTCAAAGTAGACAATATCTGTTAGTAGTGAGCATGGACTGTTACAAATAGTATTATAGCCAGACACCAAACATCATGCCAGCTAGGACCCTAGGTCCCTTAGGGAGATGAATAATGAGATCTCACATCAGTTAGAGAGGGGAACAAAGCATTTCTTATAAGGGTGTAAGAAACTCTCTCTATAAGATGCATTTTAAAACCATGAGGCTAACGGCGGTATGTAACAGGTTAGAGCAGACAATACATGTTAGTAGTGGGCTTAGCTATTATAAATGGTATTATAAATGGTATTAGAGCCAAACACCTGACAGTATACCAGGTAGGACCCTATAAGGGTGTGAAAACCTCTCTCTAGTAGACGTGTTTTAAAACCATGAAGCTGACGGCGATACGTAACAAGTCAAAGCAGACAATATATGTTAGCGGTGGGCTTAGCTATTACAAACGGTATTAGAGCCAAACACCCGACGGTATACCAGCTAGGATCCTATAAGGGTGTGAAAACCTCTCTCTAGTAGACACGTTTTAAAACCATGAAGCTGACCGTGATACGCAACAAGTCAAAGCAGACAATATATGTTAGCGGTGAGCTTAGCTATTACCAATGGTATTAGAGCTAGACACCAGACCGTGTGCTGACTAGGACCCTAAAGGGTGTGGAAACCTCTCTCTATAAGATGCATTTTAAAATCGTAAGGCTAACGACGGTACATAACAGGTCAAAGCAGACAATATATGTTAGCAGTGGGCTTAGCTATTACAAACGGTATTAGAGCCAAACACCAGACGGTATACCAGCTAGGAACCTATAAGGGTGTGAAAACCTCTCTCTAGTAGACACGTTTTAAAACCATGAAGCTGATCGCGATACGCAACAAGTCAAAGCAGACAATATATGTTAGCGGTGAGCTTAGCTATTACCAATGGTATTAAAGCTAGACACCAGACAGTGTGCCGACTAGGACCCTAAAAGGGTGTGGAAACCTCTCTCTATAAGATGCATTTTAAAACCGTAAGGCTAACGACAGTACATAACAGGTCAAAGCAGACAATATATGTTAGCGGTGGACTTAGCTATTACAAATGGTATTAGAGCCAGACACCAGACACGAGACAGTGTGCTAGCTAGGACCCTATAAGGGTGTGGAAACCTCTCTCTAGTAGACGCGTTTGAAACCCGTGAGACTAACGACGATACGTAACAAGTCAAAGCGGACAATATATGTTAAAAATAGGAACTAAGAATCATTTTCAACTCACAAATCAAACCTAAATTATTTGATTGACGGGCTTTCACTGTTTCTCACTGTTCTTTCCGATCTTTTCACTCTAAATTAAAAACTCGGAGAAAATTTCAAAGAAAACGAGTAGGACGTGTCGATGTTCCATTTCGCAAAGAAAGAGGAAGAGAAATAGATTGAGAAGAATAGAAGCATCTTGAAGTTCCAAGTTGGGTTTGTAGAAATAAAAGAGAATTTGGTGTGAAATTTCATAAGTAGGTAATGATAAAAGAAGAATTTTATGCTTAGAATAGTACCCTATGTTCTTATCTTAATAGCCCACATGGAATTATGGCTGCCCAATACATTCCCAAAGGCCAATGGTCAATTATTTGGACAACACTTATTTGAATATTACACCTTCATTTTGATTATTCATACAAAGAATATTTAACTTTTTCGTAAAGACTTTCAACCGACTCGATCACTTAAACAATTTAATCGTAAGAATGGAACGAGACTTTCCCGATAGAAATTTTGTCCGTTAATTTTTTTTAATATAATTTATATTAAAATGTAAAATATTCTAATAAATCTATAAGAAAAAAGTATAATATAATATTCTACCAAAAATTTTAATATCACAACGTAGTTTGTACTAATTCAAATAAATAGAATATATATATTGTATCAAGCTGGTGAGGACGATTAAATTATATCCGTCTCCAACCCTAATAGGGAAAAATTTATCGTGTTCACCTCCCATTTCCCGCAAGTTAAATGAACATATCTAATCGTAAAGTTTTGAATGGATTATCAAGTTAGTTGAGTTTAGTTTGTTTGTTTCTTTTGGTTCAGTTCATGGATTCCCTCAAAATTAGTTTAGATTGAGCTGACCAAACTAAAAATACAATTATTTGTATGTATAATTATTATAACTTATTTAACTTCATAATATTTTCTAATAACTTTTTAAAACGTTTCAATCTTACCCAATCCATCACATAACGTCTGTACGCCTATTTTTTTGAACAATAAAATAATCATATTCTCGATGACCTAAGATACATTTGACATTTACGATAATAATGATAGTATTTTCATTTGAATCGCTTATAATTATTACTTAATTAAAGTTAGATTAAGTAACGGATTAGGTTGAATAATCCTTATCTCATATTAATGCTTCATGTAATGTGATCGATTAAATTATCGCTAAAAAATTTCTAGATTTTTTTTTTAATTTAATCTTAAGCAACTAGACAACTACATTATTATAGCAAATATTTGGGTTGTGTATTAAATTTGTAATTTTTTAAAAAAAAAAAATTAATCCCATAATTGGTTCAAATTCGAATTAGAATTTTGACCAAATGTCAACGACAAAGATCCCCACTTTCGGAGTGGGATTGTAGCGAAACAAAACGACGTCGGATTAGGATGGGTTTTTCTGCTAACGTGGAAAAATACGCGACGCGAAAAAACGGAACCAAACAATTAAAAAAATTATAAAAAAAAAAAAGGTATAATAATTGAACAAGCAGCCAGCGAGGACCATAAGTCCTTGTGGTGGGGCCCACCCGACCCCACTCGATGTTGTTTGACTTATCGTTACCATCCAATCCAACCAGACTCCCGGGGACCACAAAACAAAAAATGCTCTTTTTTTTTTTTAATTTAAATTTAATTATTATTATTCGATTGGTGTTTTTTCATCTTCGTTCCATAAATTTAAAAAATATTATTTTCGAAAAATATAAATTTGGTCGTATTGTTAAAGTTTTAGTCACTTTTGAGTTCCAAAGCTAAAAAAGAAAACTGTATTTTATTAATTTTTTTTTATTTTATTAGTTTTGGTTTTAATTTAAATAAAATAAAAATATGTAATTATAGAATAAAAATACACATTTAAATTAAAATATTATTAAAAAAATACAAAAACTCACCATCCACGATCTCCATCTTGGATGCTTACATAAACGGGCATGGACAGGGACAATATTCTCGACTCCATCCATCGACTAATCCTTACAAATGCTGAATATTGAAATATAATTAGAGACAATTTGGATTGACTTTTTAACTGTTTGACTTATGTTCAAAGCGACGTGTTTTTTATTATTATTATTATTTATAGCAAATAATAAAGTATAAGAAATTGAATATATTTTTCTTTTAAATTATTATTTTTAATCAATAAAAAAATGTAAACTTATAATTTCTGAATCGATTAAATTAATATATTATAAACACGTTTGAAAATAAAATGAAAAATAAATTAAAAAGAATGTTTGGGATAAAGTGTACGGCATTGACGTTTACGGGATTTGAAGAAATTGAATTGCGTCTTTAAACACTGATTTGACCAGAAAAGTCAACGCATCCCCTTCTTTCACTCTCTTAATTTAAGCCTTCAAGTCAAACAAATTCCACTTTTTGTTTACTTTTTTTGACATTTATTATCCTAATTTCCAACTTTTATTTTCTTTCTTTATTAATATTTTAAAAGATTAAATTATTACTTTTTTATACCAATTTCTTTAAGTTAGATACGAAAGTCTTCCCGACTTTTGAAAAAAACAATCGAAATTACGTGGAAGAATTTGGGGAAGGTCGGATTTTCAGTAAAAATTTGAAATATATTTACTAA